TTTATTTCCTACTTAGAGCGTCAGCTACCACGTTTGCTTTTGTTGGATGGTAGAGAATTTCACAATCATAATCATTAACTAGTTCAATCCATCGTCATTGCCGCATATTCAACTCTTTTTGGCTAAACAAATGTTAAAGGCTCTTGTGATCTGTAAAAATCTGACATTTCATCCCCAATAAATAGTGCCTCCAAATCATTAATGCGAATACCATGGCTACAAGCTCCATGTAGTGCGATGGATACTATTTTTCATGATCCTTCAATTGTCTAGATGCATAAGAAACAAATTTTCCTCTTTGCATCAATACACAACCCAAAGCCAGCTTTATAACATCACTATAGACCAAAAAGTCTTCCGATCCCTCTAGTAACGATAACACTGGATCACTGCAAAAGACGATCCATTAATAATTGAAAGGCTTTATGTTGATCCTCTTCCCATTCAAACTTAACATTCTTCCGGGTTAATTTGTTTAGCGGTGTAGCGATTCTTGAAAAATCTTGAATAAACTTCCAGTAATAACATGCTAACCCCAAGAAACTACATATTTCAGAATGAGTTATCGGCACCTCCCTTCTTTCAATTGCTTCAATCTTGGGAGAATCTACTTTTACCCATGCCTCAGATATAACGTGGCCCAAAAAATGTACTTCCCTCGACTAGAATTCACATTTGGACAATTTACCAAATAACTTTTCTTTCATTAAGAGTTCACGGATTAGACGAAGATGTTCAACATGTTCTTTTTCAAATTTCAAGTATATAAGAATATCATCTATTAATACGATAACAAATTTATCAAGATATTCGTTACATACCCGGTTCATCAGATCCATGAATGCTTCAAGAGCATTGGTTAAACCAAAATGCATAACCAAAAACTCATGAGTTCATATATGGTTCGGAAAGTTGTTTTGGCGATGTCTTCATCTCTAACCTTAAATTGATGATATCCCGATCACAAATCTATTTTGGAAAAGTAACTGGCTCCAATTAACTGATCAAATAAATCATCGATTCTTGGTAAGGGATACTTATTCTTGATGGTTAGTTTATTTAAATCTCGGTAGTAGATACACATCTGCATAGACCCATCTTAGTTTTTGACAAACAGAAGCGTAGCACCCCAGGGTGAAGTACTCGATCTGATGAAACCTTTCTCAAGCAGATATTTCAATTGTGTTACCAACTCCTTCAGTTCCGATAGTGCCAAGCGATATGGTGCCCTTGCTACTGGTGTTGGCATGAGTACCAGATCAAATCTGAATTCAATAGACCGATCCAGCGGCAAACCAGTCAAATCCTCCTGAAAAACTTCAGGAGAGTCACAGACTACTAGAATCCACTCTTGCTTTTCTTTGTCTTTCTTCGAATCAATTACATAAGCCAGATACCTACAACACCCTTTATGGATACACTTCTAGGCTTTCAAAAGAGATAATAATCTGGAATGATGATCCTATCGATCACCATAAATCACAATTGGCCCTCTCTCTGGCACATTGATACTGGTCATCTTTTTGTTACACATAATGCTAGCCTGATTTTATACCAACCAATCCATTCCCACCACAACATCGAACTCTTTCATAAACAATGGAAATAAATGGATTGGCAGCCCACACACCTCAATTTCAATTTGGCAATTATCAAAAACAATAGGTAACAGATACTTGTCTATTAGCTGTATCAACTACTAACATATTGTCAAGAGGCATAAATCTCATGTATGCACACCCCGCAAATAATGGTGATACGAAAGAGAAATTCATACTAGAATCAAACAACACTTTAGCATATACAAAGTTAACAAGAAAAGTACATGTTACCACATCTGTTGTTGCCTCAGCCTCGCTTTTTATCATCTGAAAAAGATCGGCCTTGAGCCCCTTTCGGTCCTCCTTCTTCCACGAGTACTCAGAGTATTGCCTCCCATGGTTAATCGTAGATTTCTCAACTGAGAACAATTTGGTCGAATATGATCTTGTGAATTACGTTGAAAACATCGACGAGGAGCTGGACAATTTCTAGACATATGACATGACTCGTCGTACTGGTAACACTTTCTTTGATCAGGATTACAATCACCTTGATGAACTCAGTGACACCGGAGACATGCTTTATCAACATCACATTGAACAGCATGATTATCTATTTTTACAGACTTTGGCCCTAGGTAACCAGTCGAAGGCCCTTCCATTTCCTGTTTTCAATGACTTTTTCTTCTCCTTGCCTATTCTTATTTCTCTCAGTTGTTTCAGCAACATCTACTACAAAAGGAAAAGTGGAGGGATTCATATCAATCACAAATTCTCGAATTGAGGGTTTTAAACCCCAGATATATCTCTCAACTTTTCTGTCTTCAGAGGAGATATAGTACTCAGCAAACCGGGAATTAAAATATTCTTTCGGTATATTCCTATACTGTTCAATTGCGCTGTTCTAGCTTCAGAAAGTCTTCATCCTTTTGTCTAACGGCCTCTTTGGACAAAATTGTTCTTTAAATTTATTTACAAATTCTGACCAAGGCAAGGTTCGTAGAATATCTGGTTAGGCCAATGATTCTACATCCCACCAGTATAAAGCGTTAGATTTTAACATCGAAACAACAAATCTAACTTTATCAACTTCTGGGCATTTGCTAGCATTGAACATAGATTCAATATCCTTCAACCAGTAGATAGGTTTAACTAGATCTCGTTCCCCAGAAAACGTTGGGGGCTTACAGGTCAAAAACATCTTTATGTCAAAAACTCTTTCAGTTTGAACTCTTGTTGGTATCCCCATAATGGATGTTAGAGTCTCTCTTAACTTACACATTTCCTCCACTAGTACGTCTCGTGTCACATACTCTGGCCGTGGCACCGCATCTTGATTAACATTTTTAGAAATAGACTCACCCTGATCTGGATGAATCTCAAACTAACTTTGTCTTCCACTTACCTGACTCCTTCCACGACCTCTACCCCTACTTCTTCCCATGCCTCAACCTTCAGATATACTAGTCGGAGAATTCTCGGGGGAATTTTCTCTATCCTCTGGGTTGGGGTGGGTGATCCTTTCAGATCTTCTAGAACGACTTGCCATCTGCAAATTTTCAATATTAATAATCACGTATTCACATTCTCAATTATAATAAGTTGTATAAGTATAGATATGTAGCTGTAAATTCATAATTACATTGGCCAGTTGTAATTCGAATTTACCTTACATACTTTTCTCTTAACTCATCATATTTATTGCCAAAGTCTAGGCATCAGGCTTGAATACCTAAATCCCTTAAACTCAGTCTTTGATACCACATTTGTAACACACCACTTTCCACATTTGCATATAAACATGTATTTCATATATTAAAAAATACAAATACACAACTTTGGTCTCAACAACACAAGAAACTACAATACATAATTTACATCTCATAAATTCCAAAATAATATTCATGTACATCACATGTAAAAACACATGTATTCCCAAAATCCAATAGATAACAGGCTGATCTTCATATAATAGTTATCCACATTAGGAAAATAATAATATTTTTTGCTTCCCCTTATCCTTGGACACAGCTGGACCTGCAATGCATATTTCTAAAACACAAAATGAAGGTTAGATCATGAGGTCTAGTGAGAAAATCCCTTCTTTGCAATTACAAGATGAAGATTATGAAAACCTGCTATAAAAATCCCAATTGAACATCCAACCTGTTGGGTTCAATACTGTGCTAATATGTTGTATTCACGTTGATTCTCCTATTTTGTAATAGTTAGGGTTATTGCTTTCTTAGTATAAGTAAGAGATTAGTTGTTTAATTTCAGTTTAGTCTTGCTAATCATTTTGTAATCATTCTCTCAAGAAATACATATTAAAGTTTGGTGAAAATCTCTCTCTTCTATTAATTCTACTTTTGAAGATTATCATATTTGATTGAAAATTGGGGATTCACAATTGGTATCAGAGCATAGGAGCAGCAATTTGTTTGAAGGATTACGGGAATTTCATGGATTTTCGCACAAAAATCTGGAATTTTTCCTTGTTTCATCGCCTATGTTCTTGAAGTTCTTGACCGATTTGATCTTTTTCTTCTCTAATCGCATCATAATTCATTGTTAATTGTTAAAATTTGGATTACTAAGTTTGAGATTTCAATCTGAACATATTTGATTCACACGGTTTTGCAATCTAATCAAGATTTGTGACATTTTTGACAGATTTTTGAGTTTACGAAAACCTTCTATTTGTTCAAAATGTTCATAATTTTTCGAATTTTGATCCAAAATTTTGGTGAAAAGTTGATAAAATTGTGTTTTTGCTTGAAGATAAAACGTATAACTCATTGATCGATATAGGATAAACCGCATAGCTTCTTGTGCGATTTGTGACTTAGTGAATCCGTGCGATATTCTGTGTGCGATTTAGTGTTAAACCGCTTATAATTGTGTGCGATTTAGTGTTAAACCGCTTGAAACTGTGTGCGATTTAGTAATAAACCGCTTGATATTGTCTGCGATTTAGTCTTTATTCGATTGAAATTGTGAGCAATTTAATTTTGATCATATCGTGAATTTGTGCGATTTAATCTGTGATCGGTTTTTTACTTTGACTATATTTGGGCGGACTTTGACTTTGACTTTGACTGTCACAAGCGACTAATATGAATTGATTGGATTACATATGTTGACTTGCTGACTTTTTGTGATTTGATTGTATTGTGATTTTTGATTTGTGTGTAAATTTTGGCTAAGTGTTTTGTATGGAGATCTTATCCGGATAACCTGTGCGAGTTGCTTAGTTTTGACAAACTTAGTTGTCCGGATTCTAAATCCGGATAAACTTGTCAGGACTTCAAATCCGGATAAGGCTAATTGTTGAAATTTTTCCTAAGTGTTGAATGGTTGAAAATTTCTTGTGTGCGAATTCCTAATATATTACTGAATTTTAATCTTTCAAATCAAATTTTGAACCGCAGAGATCCAATATCACTTTAATCAGATAACATGGGTTCAAAAAAAGGAATAGCAATTGGTACTGATACCAAGCCGCCAGTACTTTTCACAGGAGATTACAAGAAGTGGAGAGATAGATTTCTCAATTTTATTGAACGTATGAAAGAAGGAGAGCTGATTATGGAATCACTAATGGAAGGATCAACAGTATTCTGGAGAGAAACTCCTGCTATTCTAGCAGAGAATAGGGCTGCTCAAAGAATGATTAAAGAAAAATCCAGATCTACTATTGAAGAAAAAGAAAGAGCACATACTGATGTGTTATGTAAATCTTACATGATGCAGGGGCTTACAAATGACATTTATACCAGTATTGACAGCTACAAAGCTTCTGGTCATAGCATGTGGAAACAAATCGAGAAGATGATGATGGGCTTTAAAGTTGGAACTCAGTTAAAGATCACCAACTGCAGCACAACATATGAAGAGTTTAAAGCTAAAGATGGAAAGTGTCTTGATGAAGTATATGAAAGATTGACCAGACTGTTAAATGAGCTAACAAAGAATGGCATTTCTAAAACTGTAATTGAAATAAATGTTAAATTCCTGAGTAATCTGCAACCAGAGTGGAAACCTTATGCAAACAATATCAGATATAATAAATCCTTGTCTGATATTGACATACATGAGGTTTATGAAACTTTGAAACAAAATGAGGAAGATGTCTTAGAGGTCAGAGATATGAAAAAGAAAAAGGAAAAGGAAGTTATTGATCCTTTGGCCTTTGTTTCGGAAAAGAAGAACAAAGTTAAGTCTGGCAAGCAGGTTAAAGTGGTTATTCAGACAAGCGAGTCATCAAGTGAAAGTAGTGACAATTATGATTCTGACTCAGAAATGAATGAAATAAAACAGGCCATGGCAATGCTAACTAGAGCCTTTCAGAAGAAATTTCAGAAGAAACCGCACTCTCACAATCAAAGATTTTCTTCGGGTTCTAAATATGAGTTGAAAGATAAATTTGGAGAACAGAAAAAGCATGATGAGAAGAGGTATGAGAAGAAGTATGAGAAGAAACCTGAAGAAAACAAGAAGTTCGTTAAAGGAGTGGCAGACGACAACACCAAGTGCTACAACTGTGGCAAATTGAGACATTTTATGGTGAATTGTCGAAAGCCGGTTTCAAGAAATACCGACTATTATAAAAATAAGTTTCTCCTGTAAAAACAAAGAGATGCGGGAAAGGCGTTGATGGCTGAAGATGACCATTGGCTGAACATCACTGATGAGGATGAAGAATCAGAAGCTTTAGCTCACATCTATCTGATGGCTAGAACATAAACAGACTCTTTTGATGAGTATGAAGAGGAGAGTGTTGAAATAAATGATGAGGTATTGGAAAATTCATGATCTTCCAATCCCCCTCCTTTCTCTTTTAAGATTTGGATTAGTATGCTCTATGACTGTCGTATTATACGGAACTCTCATATCATAAAACCAATCTAGAAGATAAAGTCGAGTGATTTGATATTAAGCCTTAGACGTTGTTGTACTCTCATCTTCTTGATAAATATATGTAAGTCGACGCCAGAGAAGTCGCATCTAAATTTTTAAATGAAGTGAGAATAGATCTTTGATCTGAGGAAGAATATCATACCCAATCATGAACTCAGATCTTTCTTACTCCCGTTCATCTTCAAACTCCACAAGTTTTCATCAATCTTTAGCCTCCAAAATAGATCAGTTATATAAAATTTCCTATGTCCCAGATGATTCCAAAATACCTTTATCAAATATGCCCATGGTTAACCCTTATAGTGTTTTTTCTAAGCCAACTTCCTCTTTTTCAAAAAAAGTAAAAGAATTCGTTCAGGCATCCAAGTTCGACTCACACCAACTCCCGGCCACCTCAGCCGAACATTTAGTGACATTATCCCTCCCAACAGACCTTCCCAGGCATTGCCTAGCTCAAGGATAGTTTTTGTCACTTTCTATCCAAACTTCAATATGCCTCTCAATGATCCCTCACTACATACAGCCCTCAAAGCCCAGATATAGATAGGTGGAACCGCCCAAGTTAACACCTTCCAGACAACCTTTCACTATCAAATGGCATATAGGGTTCAGAACCATTCTTTGGACATTATGGTTCCAGATCAGGAACACGCAGAAGACACCTTGCTTATTGATGTCAATTCAAGTGCCACTCCAACATGCACATATGTTCCAAGACAGTTATCCAGAGAAGAATTGATCAAACTCCTACCAGAGAAATGGGTAACCAATTACGAGCAGATCCATCAAGCCCCTGTCCAAACAAACACGGCTCAAGATTTCATCCGACATGAAAATGGAATGGTTGAAGTCAAATTCTCGAACAGAGAATCAAAGGCGGACATATTTCCAACTATCGGCATGATCCAACCGATAGAATCATCAACATCGTTGCAAAAAGACGAACATTGTTGGTACGACGTATGCAACTGCCAAGATTGCTTGGACGAAGCACACAAAGTTGATTACAATGAAGATATTCCCCAAAAAGAGTTCTCAACGAATGTTAAAGAAGAGATATGAGGCAGGAGATCCAGCTGTTGGACTCCTAGGTGAACCATCAGGCAAGTTCGATTAGTATGTTCTTTATGGAAACTCACCTTCCAAACCAAACGGCATAACTTTCCACTGGTAGTGATGCTCTGGGATGCAGAAGGAAGTTTTTGGTCTGTCATCAGAACTTAACCGTAATTGCCAAAAACCAACTTTGAGATCATACTTGGACAACACCTTTGCATCTGCGAGAGATTGGAACAATGACTTCTTTTGACGCAGAGGAAACTTACAAACTAAATGAGGTAAGCGCTTACATCACAACAAGGTGACTTCAAGCTTACATCATTATTACATCACAATTTTGTCTTTTGGTCGAGATAATTATTTTAATTAAACTACGATAATTATTTCTAATGAGAGTCAGGATTAGACGGATCGTCTTCGTAAGGATTATGCATGTTTTCTCTGGAGTCATAACGTTCATCATTTTCATCAAAGTCTTCATCATCGGAAGTGTCCAATTTCTTTGTGAGATGAGTTCGGAACCAATCTTCAAGTGCTTCGTCCCATGATGCAGAAACTGGATGATCGGAAGGCCAAAGTCATTCATTATTCAGAACTTGCTCTGGGATTGAATCTGGATCAACTAGGTTAGCACTGGCTAGGATCCACCTTGTTTCCATATATCTTTTTGGTTGGGACAACTTGTTGTACTTACTGCCTGGGTTGTTGTTATTCCATTCATGAATGAATGATAATGGAGAGTGGTAGACCAATGATGGTTGTTGTCGAAGAGCTGTATGTGGTAAGAAGAAGCAGGGCCTTCTAAACATGATTACAACATAGGTCTTAAAACAGACAGCTAATCATTGAATCCATTGATGCATCGGGAGGAACCACTTGAGATGGGTGAACATGTTCTTTGCCCCTGGGGGCGGATCCTCAAACTTACATTCGAAAATGTAGTTGAGTAGTTTGGCTTAGTTGAACGATATTGCGATGGTATGAGACTCGAACAGACATTTAGGTACTGGTAATCTGGATGGAACTGGAGGTTTCTTATGAACAGACCATGCTTCTTCAGTGTGATGGTGAAGAACGTTTTGTAATTCAACTAATACCTCTCTCTTAAAGTGAGGTCAGCAATAGTTTCTTTTATTTCATATGGCAGGACTTGTGGTGAAACTGTGACACCTTCAGCTGGATCAACCTGATGTGGAGTTTGAGAAGTGTGTGGAATAGGCGAGTTGCAAGAGCTTGCATTCTCTACAGGAAATACCATTGGAAGGACCTTGGCTTTGTGGATGGTTTGGATGTCTTTCGGAACATCATATTTATAGCCTTTTGGTCTGGACAGAAAATCTGTTAGGATATTTTCTGACCCCTTGATGTGTTTCACAGTGAATTTCCATTGAGAGAACCAATTTGCCCACCTCAAAAGTTGGGCCTCTCGGAGTATCTTTCTTTTGAAATGGAGCATGCGTGGGAAAGAAGACATATCCATTTCAATCAGGAAATCGTGCCCGATTAAATGGAATTGGAATCTTTCTATTCCCCTTTTGACCGCTAGGATCTCTTTGAATGTAGAGTGGTAGTCCTGTTCTGTTAGACCCCATAATTAATAAGTGTAAAAATATTGAAGAACAATAAGTGATGAAGAACCAGAAGACCGATGAAAACGTTAAAGCAGAATTGACCAAGTCTGAAGAACAACCAGAGGGTCGATGAACAACCAGAGATGCGAGGGAAAGAGCATCTTCATCACCCCTCTGGTCAACAACACTTAGAGTTTTCTTCAGTAATTCAACCAGAGGCATACGATGAAAATATGAAGATAAGTTTGAATCATCATCCCAGGAAAGACAGCTGGAGATGACAAATCGACAACTGGATTTCAAGTTTATCTCGATTTATAGCTTATCCATAGTTTAGATAAACTTTATCCGTTAGTAGAAGATTAGCTAAATAGTCTCACTAGATAGTTATCTTCTTATTAGCCTTCTAGTATAAATAGGTGGTTAGGCCTATTGTAATCAATGTCGCTTTTACGTTTTCATATTGAATAAAGTGAAATTATTGGCACTCAAGATTGTTCTTTGAATGTTCATACATTGTTCTTGAGTGTTCATCATTTTGTTCATTAAAACACTATAATTTGGTTATTCTTAACTTGATTATTAGTGTTATTGAGAGATCTGGGATCAACAATTGGTATCAGAGCCAATTGATTGTTTTTCCAATCAAACGATCATCTAAAATCTATCAATTCACGTCGTTCACAAAACATCTTCACCAAAAACGTAAATTTTCTCTCCTCTAAAAATCTCCAATTGCCAACTGGAACTCCGCATATAGTGTTGGTTCCCTGACCAAACCACCAACTCTTCAAAGAGAAGAGTACCCACAATGGAGGATACAAATGGTGAATTTTCTGGAAGGAATGGACAGAAATCTTCTGCGATCTGTCATGGAGGGTCCCTATGTTCCACAGACTCTTGTTCCAAGAGTTCTAGGAACAAATACAACAGCAGAAATTCCTGTCTACTACATGCCCAAGGATGAGAAAAATTGGGATGAAGATGACATAGAGTGGGTTGAGACCGACAAAAAGGCCAAAAGACTAATAATTATGGCCATACCCAATGAAATCTTCCAATCCCTTGATGCATGTTCCACAGCCAAGGAACTATAGGATGAGCTGGCAAGCCAATTGGAAGGAGGGGCAAAAACGAAGAAGAATCGTAGAGCTTAGTGTCTCAACGAATACACCAACTTCAAGGCTCTTCCTGATGAACCGATTCAGAAGATATATGATCGTTTCAACACATTGATTAATCAATGTCGTCGAAACGATATCTCCAGAACAAAGGAAGAAAACAATGTTTTATTCCTTAAAAGTCTCGGCGATGAATGGACACAGCTGTCGATGTCCCTTCAAGCAAATAAGGACTTAGACGGCTGGTCACTCCATGACTTATACAGAATGCTTGTTGCACAAGAGAATGACATCTTGAAGAAAAAGGTGTCCATCTGTGGACCCCTGGCTCTAACAGCTGAAGAAAAGGAAGTTTCAAGGACCTCCACCAAAGACCACAAGAAGGAAGAAAAGAAAGCACTGGTGGTGGAATCAGAGTCTGAAGATGAAACATCTGAATCAGATGATGATATCAAAGCCTTTGCCAAATCTCTSGCCTTGATTACAAAGCAGTTCCAGAAAAAGTTCATCAAGAAACCCTATGAACGAAAAGAGATCAAGAGGGAGAGGTACCAGCCATCATATGAAAGGAAGCCATCTAAATTCTGTTAGATCCCATAATGAAAAATGTAAAAAGTAATGAAAAACAATAAGTGATGAAGAACCAGAAGACCGATGAAGACATCAAGGCAGAAAAGACTAAGTCTGGATCGATGGAAAGACTAACCAGAGCATCGATGGAAAGACCAACCATCGAACCGATGGACCAAGTACAACCAGCGGATCGATGGATGATGTGATGGAAAGTGTATTCATTGATACGATGGACAGACTAACACTTAGAA